CCTCATTCTGTTGCATGTGGAACGCCTTGACATTTTCAAAATTTAAAAAGGCAAGGATCTGAATTAGAGCACTGGCTTTATTATGTTACAAGGCGATATGGTTGCATATATAGCGTTGTCGCCTGCAGAAAAAAAAACTTTATTACGTTTATTTCACTTGAAAATGGTAATCTACTTAATTTTCTGGTAATATCTACTGCCAGTCTTTTGGTAGTCATCCGTTCGACCCCCTGTACCTTGTTGAATCTCACTAAATCCAGTTTCGTGGGCAATCGCCTTACTCAGCACGTTGGATGCCAGCATGTCAGTATCCACTCGCAGCTGAATCAACTGAGGCGGCTGACCTTGATCGCTTACGGGACCTTGCTTGGATAAAGCCAGCCCTCTACCACTAAGCTATTCATCTCGTTCGAAACATTCTGGCTCACTCTTGCCACGTCCCGATATCTGTTCTTTATTCTTATTAATTCATTTACTTATGTTATTTTCTGCTTTTTTTTTTTTCAATTCATTATCTTTATATTTCAAATCTAATCAGGACGACTCTCACGAGGACGACACGCGCCCATTTTCTAGAGCAATTCTCACTGAAACGACCACGCACGCCACACTCGTGTATATTTCCATTATCTTACTGCTGTCCCTGATATGCACATCCACAGCTGTCGTCTGAACGATATAACCCCTCGCCCCTAACCTCGCCCTTGTCTTGTGGCGTGTCTTTCTATGAGTATCTCGATTACACTCTAACCAAACATTAACGCTAACCTCTTGACAAGTTGCTTGATAACACGTACGTTATATTCTAATAACCATTACCCAAGGTGTCGGAAGGTCATTTTAAAGGAAAATATGAACGCAGACTCTCAAACGCACTCATGAAAATTCCTGAAGATGTGGATGAAGGAAGTCTCGCCTACAGCCTCCAGTGCATGTGAGGTCTAAGTCTGTCCCAATATTATTGTGGGGCCCAATTCCGAGTCCATTGCTAAGAATAACTGATCCCGCTTGTACCACTGCTTGTATGTCACAAGGAAAAGAGAGCTTGTACCCTTCATAGTCACAGTATTAAGTAAATTTAGTGTCTGGAATCTGATAGAAAGTTTTCTACCGACTCGGTTACATGTAAAATCTCCCCCATGTTTGTTTTTGTTTGGTTGTTTATTCGTTTTCATGGCATTATAATTTTTTATTGTTACTTTTGACGTGGTCCTATTTTCTTTTTTTTATTAAGCTTATTATTAACACTACCCTTTATATCATTACTATCATCAACTCTATCAATAGTCATAAAACTCTTATCGATCAAAGAGAGAGAGAGAGAAAGAAAACAATAATTATAGAGTAGTAACTCCCCAATCCGGTTTGTAGAAGGAAAAGAAATTTTTGATAACAATAGCAGTAATAAATAAACAAATATAAGTTCACTCCTGAATATGCGCAGCTTTACAAAATCAGACCTGCTCCTTAGACTATGCTAATTACTGCTCGTAAGATATTTTTTCCCTAACAATTTAACCAGCAAATTGTACGTAGCATCGAACCTTATTAAAACAGTACTGTCTGATACGAGTGTTTGCCGCAACACGGTCCCAACTCTAAGGTATCGAGGTGAGCACTCAACGAGGTTGTTGGACATTTTAAACCGGTAGCTAAAACCAACAAACTCTTGGCATTCGCATAAAAGTATTGCGTTTATGTGTGTGTGTGTGAGTGAATGAAGCAACAAACTGTTTATAAATACCATTAGAAAATAGGATTCAAGAACAAACTTGTAGATGCACATTACCCGTGAAGAGCCAGCTTCAACAAGGCAATGAAAATCAATAAACCTCTGCACAGAGTGTTTATTATGAGAACACACTTGTGATGCAGTCTTTATCAGAGCTATGTCTATTCTAAATAACCTAAATAACACGTTTTTTTTTATCATCAGTTCTTCAGTCCCATCACAAGATCGCATGATCATCGTCATCATCTTGAGAGAGAGAGAAGAGAAGAGAAGAGGAGAGAGGGAGAGAGAGAGAGATCATGAAAAAATGATAAACATGATAGAATAAGCTAAACAGCAACTGAAGAACTCAATCCTTTAACAACAGGGACGAGTTGAGAGTTCTTTCCTGCGTAGGAGCGAAATATAATATGATATATATATTTATGTGTGTGTGTGTGTATGTGTGTGTGTGTGTGTGTGTGTGTGTGTGTGTGTGTGTGTGTGTGTGTGTGTGTGTGTGTGTGTGAATAGATAGATAGAAAGATATAGGGGTAAATGTTGAAAGCATAACTTAAATTCAAATGACAGTGAGAACAAAATTATAAACCAATAATCCACATATTTTGTTCTTTATACATAGATAAAAACACGCTTAAAAACACTCATGTTATTCTAGCACACATACATGTATACATATCTTAGATTTGCATACACGACTGTCTTTCTTCCCATAAGAATCTAAACTTTATCATTATCACTGTGACTCCCAAAACATTTCCCTCAGGC